GTCATGTTAATAGAAGCTCTGCTCAGATCTTGCAAACCAACAGTATCTCATGGTACATCATTCTCTCTTTTTCCCTCCCTTCCTAGCATTCACTACCATTCACACAGGGGAAAATTCCAGAAAGGGAGTCCTTTTTTTCATCAGTTAACCACTTCTGATCCAAACACAAAGCAATTGTTAGGGCTGTTTTTCAACAAGTGTGAATAGTAATGAGCACAAGATGGTATCCTGTAGACCATCTTGCCTGCTTCCCTTGGTCTTGTCAACATTCAAGCTGCCTTTTTTATGTAAAGCTTGGCATCCTTTTTCCTGCTGGCAACACAGGCAGTATAATATTGTGCAGCAACCTTGGGCCATTTCTTTGCTTTTTGAATCGGGGGGTACAGAAGCACAATATTCCACATTCATAAACCTGAGCTTTTTTTAAGAATTAAATTTAAAGAGGTATGAAACCAATACATATTTGTGATGTAAATATGTTCTTGGTACCTGATTGATCAGTGAATTATTTCAGTTCATTTTCAGTACTGGATAACTGTAGATTGGAGTTCTATTGGCCTTTACTTACATTTTTGTCCAATATTTGAGCAGGACAGTGTCTAATATTAGCCCTTCTCCTCTCTGGGTTGTCTGCAGATAAGAGACTAGCCCCTCTGCGTGACCAAGGGCCCTGGCAAACTGGAAGTCTTACTCACAAGGAGAACCTCATCTCTACAGATTCATCATTTTTCACATGGAGAAGATTATGGTGGAGAGAGGAAGGGTTACATACTGTTCTGCCTGTGCACGGAACAACAGCAGAGTAAGTAAAACGTAAATAGGGTTATTTAGATTTATTTTCATTTTTACACATTTCTTAGGCATCTTCTGAACACTCACATCTGATAGTAATATGTTCCTTTTCTCTCAAAATTCTTGCTGGTATTCCCTTTCACAGCCTTATGTAATGTACTCATCCAGTCGACTGGGTCATAATCTTCAATACACACTGCGATCTACTGTATGCAGTGAAAATACCTAAAAATTCAATCAGCCTGTATGCTCTTCTACTTTCATTTGATTATTCCCCAATGAATGACAAGATAAACTGAACCAAAATTAATCCTTTAAGTGACTTATTAATAACTTAATGACTCTCATTGTCCCCTTAGTTAGCAAGGTGTGAATCAATACTTGATTTAGATATTTTAAAATACCCTTTTTTAAAAAATGAACTTTTGGTTTCTATGGCAAACCAAGATGGGATGTGTGTTTTATTTGTGTGGCCAAAGCAGTGATGTCATTCTTTGGCACGCATTCTAATTTTCATTGGTCCACAGGCACTCAAAGCTAGAGAATACAATTCAGTTTACTAAAAATGGAAAACCTTATGAATGAAGCATACTTATTGTTGTTGTTTTCAGAGAAACAAAATTAGGACCTCACTACATCAGGCATTAAAGAGATAACATCTGTCTAAATCAAGGGATAAATTAGATTTTTAAGCTTCTAAACACAGGTACTGGGCAATAAGCCTACAATCCTATACTGTACACATATGCCTGTGAATACACAACACTGAATACAGTGGGATTTAACTTTTAAGTAAATATGTTCACAATTGCACTGTTCATCCTTCATAAAAACATATGTCAGCACAGTGATGTGGAAAATATGTAGGATAATACTTGAAACAGCTACAATTTTGAGATTATTTGGGTTGAGACTTCCATCTTGACACTGTGAGGAGACAGCAGGAGGAGGACAGAGCTCCATCCCCTGGGCTGAATTCCAACCTGTTTGGGACCTCCCCAGGGGGTTAAAAACATCCAGAAGAGGTTGTTGTGAAATGGGGAAGATGCCTATTTATCATGGAGGTGATGGCGGCTACCCCTGTTTGATTCAGGAAACTGCCCAATCAACCAGCAGGCAGAAACAAGCAGCTGAAAAGCTCACTTGTGAGTCATCAGCAGCTGGCTAATTAACATCATTATCATTGGGTGAGAAATATTTATAACTATTCTATTTTATGACCATCCCTGGATGAGACAATCCCTATAACAGAAAAGTGCCTCTTAGCCTCACCACTTAAAGAGCAGCAGTGAATCTGGATAGGGAAAGAGATGCAATGAGAAGCAAAGAAAATAAATTGTACACTAATTAGACATTTAATTATACAGAAGGAAGTTTGGTACTACTCCTGCTTTAGAAACTTAAGAAATCTTTCTCCTAAAATTATTTAACAACTCTGGAGTTAATCTGGTTAAGTTATGGCTATAGCTATTTACAGCTATCTACAACATTGGCAAAATGCCCAGAACATTGACCTTGAAGACTTTATGGAGAGTTTGACTTCTTATTTCTCTGGGGACTGACTGAAATGTAGACAAATTAACCCTCAAAAGCCTAATTCGGCAAAAGTGGATTTTTTAAAAAACTGTATCCTGAGCTCTGAATTTGATTGGAGCACAAGCCAGGATAAAATTAATACAGGAATGGACTGCTTCTGGGGCTGGATTACAAAAGACATCAGGCTATGAATAGAACCATTGATGGAACTACTTGATGAGCAAGTGTCCTTCAGTCTAGAAGCGAGAGAAATCCTACACGTCTGAGACTGGATTCAAGTTTAACCCTAAACATGACCCATCTATTAAAATAGACCTATGGAAGCAAGTATTGATGGAATTGGACTGATTACTACTAAGCAACTGGACAACATTCACTTGGAATACAATCATTTGATATCTGGGACATAATGCTACAACAAGAAATTTTTGGGGATGAAACAAAATCTACGCTTCAAACAATTTTGGAAATAGTGAGATTCCACAATGAAGAGGCAAAATTATTCAATGAGCAGTTAAAGAAAGACTATAATCAACAGGAGACAGGGAAGAACAAACAAGGAAATGTGGGGGTGGTGGATGATGTATGCCAATCAAAGGAGGGGCTGGAAGGAATCAGAGGAGAAAATTTAGGAGATCTAATTCTAACGCTGGAGCCAAAGAGAATCTTAGTGTGCTGAGGGAAGATAAGAACCAGCAGATTTAATTAAAAATAGCCTGGAAGATCTATTGAAGATAGATCAAGTGCAAGAAATGACCACAGATGGTATAAGAGATGGCAAAATTTTTAGATAGATAGGAATAAGAATTGGGAAAAGACAAATAAGAGAAGGAGTTAGAAAGATGCAAAGGTAAAAAACATTAAGGTGGCCTTCAACATTGAAAACATGTATACACCTAACTTCTGGAACTGTGTGGGACATATCTTGTATATAGAAAAGGGAATCAAATTGAAATAAGGGATCATTAATCAGGGTTAAGGCATAACAAGGTGGTTTTTAAGATAAATTGAAGCTAGACATAAGAAAGAGGTAAAACAAATAGTACTTAATATATATTGGATATGATATTAATATAGACATGACAGAAAATGTGGAGATAGAAATGGCTAAACAATTATATAAAGAAAATTTGTATAAATGCTTTAGGTAATTGATGTAATTGATGTAATGAAATGTTTTAGGTAATTGATGTCAAAAGGGGACATAATATCCCCAGTTAGAGAAGGAATAGTAAGAGTAGTTGTAATGATGGGGAAAGGGAAATGCATACATCTTATACTAAATATCTAGCCCTTAAAAAAAAGACTCAATACATTGCAGCAGTCCTTGAGTAATACCCCCTGACACATACACATATACAAATTCACATTTTTGTAGCCTCCCAATAGAAATTAGCTACATTCTTGTCTGATAAATCATACACCATGAAGTTATTACTAGTTCACACTGCAAACAGAGAAGCCATATGTGAACAATCACAGAATGCTTTCAGAGTGCCACAAATGTCATGTCCTTGCATGACAGGAAATGCCACTCCTTGACATGTTACTTTCTAGGGATCTGATGAAAACCTAATCAAATCAAAGCTATTTATATATCTCCATGACAACCACAGGAAGGAACAAAGATGGGTTCTAACTTGGCAGAGCACTGTTCCTCAGAGACTGCTTGTGATAAATTCTTTCTCTAAATTTGTAAGATTGACCATTTTAAAATTAAAAAATGTGATGCAATTAAAACTGGGAGAAAGGAAAATAGAAGTCCCTACACCTTATAAGGAAGATGCCAAGCAAACAGCAAAGGAGAAGGAAACCCTGTATGATAACAGTGCCACCCTTATGGAGTCATAGATTTTAAGCTACCAAAGGTTTTCTAAAGTTCCTGGTTGCCTGCTTAGCTAAGGAGATAGATTATTAATTGTTCTGCTCCACTTGATAACAAAGTGTTCAATCAAGATAAAATAAGTAGAATGTGCCATGAAAAAGGTAATATCTCAGAATCAAATTAAATATGATAAAAACTCAATTTACCTCAGTATAATTTTTCATTGACTCACTGATAAGGAGAGCAATATCAGGAAAGGAATGCAATAAGGTTTTGTGGAGCGCTGTATTATAGATTACTACGTTTGATCTCCTTGCAGTCCAGGAGACTCTCAAGAGTCTCCTCCAGCACCACAATTCAAAAGCCTTCTTTATGGTCCAGCTCTCACTTCTATACATCACTACTAGAAAAACCACAGCTTTGACTATGTGGACCTTTGTCAGCAAGGTGAGATCTCTGCTTTTTAAGATGCTCTCTAGGTTTGCCATCACTTTCCTCCAGTGGTGGGATTCAAATAAATTAACAACAGGTTCTATGTCCTAATGACCATTCAATCAATCAATCAATCAATCAATCATTCAATCCCCAGGACAGTGGGCTCTGATGAGGGTTTCTTCCACAGAGGTCTCCCTACTGCCTATTATCACAACTACTTCTCACATGATTAAGACACCTGGATAAGTGTATCTGTTTGGGTATACTGCTGCTGTTACCCTCACCATGGGCATGTGCCAAAAACACACACACAAACAAACACACACCTCACTATGGGTGCTTATGACCAAGTTTGACAGAGAACTGACACATCTCTCCTTCCCTTTACCTCCTATTTCGCCCTATAGCTCACCAGTAAAAATTGCTTCCCTCCCCTTTCCTTCTCCTGAAATGACTGATAGCCCTATTTGTTGTTACCTGGAGGCCGCCTGTAGCAAACAGCCCTGCCCTCACCTGCCTGTCATAGCAGAACAGTGAAGAAGGAGCCAAGGAGAGGACAGAAGGTGGAGCCAAGGGGGGAGGGGCTGGATAGAAAGGCTGGTGTATGGAGTATGAGGAGAGAATCTGGTAGTGAGAGACAGTGTGAAACTTAAAAGTGTACTAAGAGTGAGTTAGAGATCTGAAAGAACGGAACATCTTAATGGAACAGAGTGTTAATAAAGTTTTAAAGTTAAAGTGGAACTGATTCAAATACAAGTGATTAGCAACCTGTGATTTACCTATTGAATAGTAATCATATGTTAACTTCCCTGATCTAATAAATTGAGTTAAGTTTTAAAAGCACACACGTATCCTTGATTGAATGGTATTGAGGTAGCAATACCTGGTGGCAGCGAAGAAAGAAGAAGGGGCAAGAACCTCGTGAAGGCCTGGGGGAATAGGGGCTTCAGAGGAGATTGCTACACTGCCTTTGCGCACCTATTGTGGAGTTATCCCCCCCCCCCACTTCCTTCTGGCTTGGAAGGTATGGTCTCTTTTCAGTCTGTCATCACTCCACCTCAACACCGCCACCTCAATCGGTCCTTCAGTTACTGACTCCTCTGAGGTCTCCTCCTCCTGCATCTTTCCCCTCCACCCTGCACCCACCGCTTCTCGCCAGTCACTTTGAGGGGTGTTGGTGGTGGTGGCGGCACTGGAGGTGATGATGGTTTCCCTCAGAGCCCTGGCGGGCTCCCCTTCCCCAATCATGCTTTGTCAATCACCCCCCTCGAGGCCATGGGCTTTCCTCCAGTGACGTTAAGGACTCATCCTCCTTCCCCCTTTCCCCCAGTGACACCTCTGCTCTTTCCAGGGCTTTATCTCTCTCACCCACACCCCACCTCCGATGGCTCAATGTGGCATGGGAAGGGAGGCAGCTAATTGCGTCCCCTCCCCCCTGATCGTCACTGGTCACCTGGCCCCTCCTCCTTCATTCATCTCAGGCCAGCAAACAGTTCTACGAACCAATAGTACGTTTAGGAATTGGTTCTATAGAACCGGTGCGAACTGGCTGAATCCCACCTCTGCTTTCCTCCCAAGAAGCAGGTGTCTTTTGATTTCATGGCTGCTGTCACCATCTGCAGTGATCATGGAGGCCAAGAAAGTAAAAGCTGTCACTGTAGGGCAGAACAATGAAGGATTAAAAAAGTGAAGGGATCATATCTGTGAGTATTGACACACAATGATAAAAAGTTAGGAAAGAAGAAAAGAAGTCTAAGGAACAGTGTACAGTATACTCTTTATCTTAGAAATGAAATTCTTTTTCTGCCCTCTGTGCCACAAGTTCATTGCTTAAATCATCAGACCTCATGACTTCATTGCCATTAATTTTAGGTCCAGGGAACAGAAATAACAGGAGAGACAGGAGGAAAAAAGAAAGTGAGGAAAGAACACACCCCCTACATTGCCATTTTAAGAAAGAATCAAACATAATTGCATTTATTTGGCTTTTAAAGTCCTTCACATACTCTCTTCCCAGTGACTACCTTAAGAAAAATTAAGACAAAACAGGGAAGCCAGCTCTGCAGACTGATGCTCACACTGTTTTGTCCTGCCTGCACCATCCAATCTATGACCTGGTCTTGCTGTTTGCAGTTCTTCATTTGCAGAGAACTGAAAACACAAAAATACTATTATAGACCTGGGCAGCTACTGGGCTACAGAGTCACTGAAAGGACACAGGCCCATTTGGTCCCAATCTATGCCGGTTGTTCGGGCACAGCATAGATTAAGTGGCTTGTACATATCCTTAATTTATGTACATCAACTCCTCACTGGGCTGTGTCTAATTCTTCATTAATTTTAAAGATAAATTACACATCTAGAATTACTATAGTTTAAAAAATTCTGCCTGTCTGTCTTAATTTAAGGGAAGGAATTTATGTCCCTGACACTTTCTTACTAGGAGGTTGCTGCTAAGGGATATAGTATCTCAGAACCGCTTCTTCAGAAGCATGCACAATTTTAGCAATCACCTTAATGTCTGAAGAGTTGAGATAATGTAAAACCACATCATATTAATGTATTATTTAAAGTGCTTCTTGCTTGCCTTTTAAGAATACAGTCTTCCTAAAACAGCTTATATTATTAATCATACAATTCCATATTAATAAAAATTTTATTAAAATCTAACCTTTCAGTTAAAGGCCCTCTGATATTAGGTAAGCTTTTTATTTCAAAGCATATATTATAATTTTGCTTTGAATTTTTGATTTTGATTTTTGCATAACCATTCTGTTTTATTTTTTTATGTGTGTTAGTGTTTTATTATGTTGTAAACTGCCCAGAGTGGCCTTGCAGCCAGATGGGTGGCATAAAAGTTGAATGAATGAATGAATGAATGAATGAATATATAAATAGTCAGGATTAAAAAACATTTTGAAAACAAATTAAAAACATTTTAAAATATCTAAATTTCTCTCTGTCTCTTGATGACAGCGGACAAGAGGAAGGGTGCTTGCTAATTGCTCCTCAGGCAGGAGCTGGCAGACGCCCCGCTGCAGCAAAGCCTTTTGATGTGATTGCCAGCCCTCTAGATTAATCAGGAGTCAAGGCTCAGAGGAGACCAGCTATGGAGGAAGAACCTGTCAGCTGCTGCTTCTCAGCCTGCTCTGCAATGGACAGGGCTCTTGCATGCCCCTGACATGAGCAGTGCACTGGAGTGGCAGTGGCCAGTCAGATAAGTTGTCATTTTGAACTACAACTCCCAGAAGCCCCCAACCAGCATGGCCACTGGCTGATGTATTATTATATCTGAAACTCACCCACCTTCTTCTTGTGTGGGGGGGAGAGACCACACAACATATTCTAAGTTCTGCAGCTGAATTGAGTTGGCTAAGGCTGCAGTCCTTAAGTAAGAGTAATTATTCTGTTTCTGGTTGACACGGCAGCGCAAAAGTGGGGAGAAAAGCCATGCATAGCACTTTGGACTGAGGGTGGAAATGCAGG